GATGGATGAAAGAGTGGTTGAAGAAACGTGAAGAATATTCCCATATGAGGCTGCTGAGGGACAGATGCGGAAGATTTTCACAATTATTTCAGAATGAAAGAAAATACGCTCATAACATTATTAAAGATGGTGAACCAATAGACCATTGAAAGACAGAATGCATCCCTATTAATTGAGAGATTAGCCTTAACCATGAGATACTTAGCTACAGGAAGAAATTTTGAAGATTTGAGGTTCTCTGACATTTTTTCTGAGGTTCTCGCCGGCAACTATCAGCGAAGCTATAATTGAAAGTGTGAAACTCAAATTGCTCAATAAAGGTCCGTAGGGCTTCGTCTTCCGGGCGTTCAATCCCCTCGTCTCATACATTATTTCTTCTTTTGACTCGTTTACCGTTTCACAGTCTTCAGACATTGTCTGAAGGTCACTCGTATAATCCATAATAGTCCGCACAAAGAACACATCCTTTCCTACAAAAGCTCGGCAACAACTTTGTATTGACAATATTATTGAATATGCCCCTAGACGCTCAATAATATTGACAATATCCCCTCTACTTTTAAACATTGACGCCCAGAGGTCAGAAAATCTGGATTTCATCAATATCGCTACAATATCGACCGTCAATACTCTTTATTTCACCTTACATGATCAATATTATTGTCAATATCATACTGTATTGTCAATATTATTGATCCTGTAAGGGCCGCATAACGAACTGCGCTTTATTTGAACAACTTAGTATGGAATTGGAAACAACACTTGGTTTAACGACACAGTCCCCAGCGCATCGGTTTTGGATAGAATTTCCATTACCCAACTGACAATTAAAACCCACTTTACGGTTAATAATGCATTGGAAACTTTTGATGTTATTCATAAAATAATAATAACGTTTAGCGCATGAAACGGACTTGATTGAACTTATTACCAATTGTGATTTACTTTATAGTATATGTACCATCTACCATAGTGTATGCATAATAGACCAATACTGGTCACGGTGCATAATAAATAGGTCGTAATGAGGCTAACTCCCAATATTCTACTGTATTTTAGTCAACAATTTTTTCTCGTATACAAATCGGCAGGATTTCAAAATGTATAGGAGCTACAATAATCCTGTTCCTGATTAATCTTGTTTAATGGTTATACATTAAAATTTCGACAATAAATGTATACAATAAATGTACATTCGAAGACCTAGTAGTTTTTAAGGTTATTGCATTGTCTCGGTACGAAACATAGTAAAACGGAAGTCAGATCGTTGAGGGGAAGATAACGAGCTGAGACCACTCGAAACCCTTCTTACATCAAATCTCATGACTAACTATCCGTCATTATTAGAACACCCCTTTTTAGTTAACCCTTTTTCCTAATAAATAACAACACTACGGTGCTATTATTTAACTAGAGATGTAACGTTTAGAATTTTCGCTAAGTTTTATAAAAAATCATAAACCATTTTTTATGTCTGGCATGATACCCAATAAAGAATCTGTTTTCTTAATATTCATTAATGTGTGGTGATTAGTGGCCGTTATTCGATGATTATTCGCTAAGATAGTATAAAATTAAATAATGACTATGAACAAGAAGAAGTTGTCTGAATGAAACAATAATTTTACAATTTTGATCGTAGATTAAGAAAGTGTCTCAATGCCAAGCTTAATCCTGCATCGAATTTTGTAGGACTAGCACTGTCATGGTAGCCGGGATGCCAGCAAACGTGTAGCTTTGTTACACATCCATTGTTTTATACATGAGAGGCCTTAAACACCTTTACAATTACATATTACCAAATGATTTATAAAAAGCGCAGAGAAAAAAGTTATTTAGTATTCAATAAAATACTAATAATCGTTGAATTAGCAATGCCTCGATAATTTATCAATGGGTGGAAATAATCGCTGAATAGCTTAATAAATCTCCATTCTCGATTCTGTTCCTAATTGCTGGAAATGTTCGAACCTCCGAAAAAGAGGAATAATTCATATCTGATCTAAGAAATAGAGCCGCTGTTGCCGACTGTCATCGGGAGGGCAAGCAATATAGGATAAATCAGCTCTGCCAGTTTTGGATGATTTGTTAAAACGGATCAGTGATTAAAAGGTGGCACCGGAATTGCCCAACTTCCGGCAACTTCTTTGCCCCTGAACAATAATAAAGAAGATTCCCTTGCAATTTCGAGCCTTCGATTAATTCCGGCTAGCATCGTGGAAACTCTTCTTATTAGTCACCTGGCCGCTGCTTTTTCCGCGATTAGGCGTATAAACGATGACAACTATCGGTTCAAATCTAATTAAAAGGAAAATCAGGACCTGGAGGGTGGTATAAACAGCCGACCTTTTCAATATCAAAAGTAAGGTGTTTCTTAAAAAGTTAGCAAACAAAGCAGGAAGAAACTTTGGCCGCCATCACATTCTAACACTCCCAAAACATAAATCCATTTACGTTAGTAAAATCCATAGGATTAAGCGTGGGTCCTCACCTGGCAGAACATCCTACTAAGCTTCATAATAAAAATACACTCTGTTCACTATTCTCTACCTAAAATTTCATTCCACGTAATTTGTCACCACACAACCGTACTACAATACCCTAAATTAATTTATTTATATTTAAATATTTTATTCGCAATCAAGCGTTTTTGACGGCGTTGTGACCCATGAATTTTCAGCCACCTCAAAAGTTTCTAGTGGATATAAAGCTGTCTAAAGTGTTAGATGTATCGACCAATTTTTTATCACGGATAATCTGGATCTTGGTATGGTCTGGCTGCAAACAAATTCAATTGTTACTGCCAACTTTCCGACCTATTTTAAGATAATCTATTTTCCAATTTTAGTCCTACTGTAGGTACTACGATTTTAGTCAACAACGCTACATTCAACGCGTTGTTGTAAAAATTTATGAATGATCATTTACTTGGCCAACAAAAACGCCTTTTTTTACTCCAATGCCACGCCAAGACGAGCTCTGGATTTCTCGAACGTTGAGGATGCCAATATTTAAGACGACAAAATTAACACTTATCTCGTTAAGTCGTAAGGGCGGGAACGTATTTATATTTACTCTTCATATTGTGTTTGAATATTTTCTAGGCTTTCTAGTCCCTTCCCTCTATCGTATGAATTATACATTTAAATATGATTAATATTGAGTATTAATATTTATGAATAATTTGTTGAAGTAGTGACGAGAAGATATTCACAGTTTTGCCGACGTTTCGACCTTTATTTGGGTCATCTTCAGACGAATTACAAAAATATATTGATTTGAAAAAATAATTATACAACATAGAAATAAATAATTTAAACTTTGAACCAAGTATTTCATACTCACATAAAGTGTAATGCTATTTTTTTAGTATCATGTTTGGTCATGCGAAATCGTGAAACATGAATTTGTGTTCTGCTGTATTTATATGATTGTAACAGGGTGGAGAACGCGGTAAATCAGGGAACTTTTCATTGATCAGAGGCGGTTTTATTTGTCTCAAAGGAAGTCGAGAATGGGGATTTTTGGACTTGTTTTGATTCTAGGTTTATTCAATGGGTACAGTTACTAATTTTGGAAAGGAAGTTAATTATTATCGACGATAACGAAGGAAAGGGAAATATAAAAATTTATGAATGATCAGAATATTGGTCTTCTTGCTTTACTCTGAACCGCCTCTGAGAAGTAGGGGAGATGTTCTAAGTGCATGTTTGGATGGCATTTTTTTAGTTTATATAGTAAGATTTTATGCAAGGCTCGAGATATGTTAAGAAACGTGACGGAACAGAAATATTTATCTAAAGATTTTTCTATTACATCAATAATTCTGAGAACTAAATGCATTTAAGTTGAGCGATTTGTTTTAAAGCCTACTTAAGACTTTAGTATGAGGCTTTTTCTTTTGTGCCGAAACTTTATTGGTTCACCGTCCAGATTAGCAAAAAATGTTTCAACCTTATTGCCGCATTACCTTATCAATTATTCCTTATAAATATTCAAATTCAACAGTACCTATAAAATGACAAAGTATCCTAAAATAGCATTAAAGCCTTTAGTTGTACATTTTAACAAAGTTGTACCAATCAAATCACATTACAATGTACTTAATAATACAAAATAATGACACCAGATAGCTAACATAGTTTGCTGGTTAGTATGAAGTTGTAAAACGGTGTACAGGCAAAATAAATTTCTTTCCTTAGTAACAAACATTTTAACAACCCCACAAAACCTAAATTTTATTGATCCGGTTTTTGTTCCATTTTGAAAAAAAGAAAAAACTGAAAAAATATAACGGGCCTAAATGAAAGATTTTAATTTACTACAATTAATTAAGGTTTTTAGTTGAGATGAAAAAAGCTAATGGCACGAGCGGGATTCGAACCCACGATCTTCGGCTAGATACGCCGCTGCTCTACCACTTGAGCTACGTGACTTCCTATCTCAACTCCACCTTATGAGTTTTCCCTCCTTTTTGCCATTTTTCAAATGTCGTGTAATCGGTTTGGATTCTCAACGACAATTGAAATGACCACGGAGAGCTTTAGTGAAGTGTACTTCATATTAATTCTTTAAATTCACTAATTTCGTGGTCCGCTTGAGGTGGGGTTGAGATAGCAAGTTGATGTCCGAGTGGATAGAGGTCACGATAGCTCAAGTGGTAGAGCAGCGGCGTATCTAGCCGAAGATCGTGGGTTCGAATCCCGCTCGTGCCATTAGCTTTTTTTCATCTCAACTAAAAACCTTAATTAATTGTAATGATTTAATTGGTCAAGCGAACCACGAAATTAGTAAGTTTTAATTTACGTTCCTTTCAAAATACATCCAATTTTGAATGACATGACCAATGAAAGAGAACATGAAAAATTAAGATTTCATTAGCGGCGTTCTAACGAGTCAAAAACAATTAAAGTTTACGGTGAAATAGATGATTTTAAGACAATCTGTCTTAAACTTTAAGGTCTGGTTATAAATAAATAGAAGTACGTAAAGACACTTACCTTTCTGGCAGTCTGAATTCTCCCACCACCTGAAAACAAAAACCATGCTTAATACTGTAACTCATGTTTTGTAAACTTTTGTAAGATATGAATAATATAAAAATTTAAATGAATTTATATATTTTTCTATTGTTTTTGTAAGTTGCGCATCTGAAAATGCAATGAAACTTTGATTTGTACCACTTTTGTATAAAAAAATTAGGTAAACCATTGCAATATTTATTTTTTACATGATTTTAAACTTTAACAATATTTGAATGTTCATTAGGGTTTTGGTTTAGATAAAAAAGTCAGTGTCACAAGCGGGATTCAAACCCACGGCCTTCGGCTAAATACGCCGCTGTTCTACCACTTGAGCTATCGGGACTTCGATCCACTCGGACACTAGCTTCCCATCTCAACCAAAACCTTAATTAATTGAAAAGAATTTAATTGGTCCAGCTGACCACGAAATCTAATAAATATTTGAAAGGATCATACTTGCATTCCTTTAATTAAATAGAAGGGAAAGCTGTTTTGCAAATAGCGTAGGTTTGGTTGTTCCAGTCCAACCACTTAACCATTTCATTAATCGAACACTAGGATATAATTTGCATATACTACCAACTTTTTTTTGTAAATTAGGTCAAAGCGTTAATCAGTACAGTAGAGAGATCTCTTATCCGCGAAAAATGAAATATTCAAAAATTTCAGTGCTCAATATTTTGCATTTTCCTTAATCTTTCTCGGGCGATATATCAACATTTACTTACCACATCATCTATATTGCTCTTGAAACAATTTTCCTCACGTTTCATATGATAAATTTGTTGAAAGATACAGGAAATGGAAAAGGCAGAGGAGTCTAGGAACGTGAACACCCGAGAGGATTGTACACTCGTCAAATATTCCGGCAGTATATTCCAAGGTAGTTGTTGCCTTTCACTGGCGTTCAGTACGTTTCTAAAGGGGTGGCAGTCTCACTGCCGCCTCCCGACCCCCGTCCCTAATAACTCGAATTTACAATCAGCAGATGTTTGGTAATTCCTTGACAAGGACCGGGGCGGGAGATTATCCATCCATCCATCCATCCATACGACCCCCTGGTGAAATAGAGATGTAACCGATTTGCATATGGTACAACATTCGACGTCTGCAAACCCACTTTATCAGCTGTCGCATGGATGAGTTTGTGCAACAAATGTACATCGCGTGAATGCCGAACTCGAACATCGATCCCTGTGGAAATGCTCGGAGCAAGCAAATATACAATTGGATATCGTTTCTTCATAAAGAAAAAAATCGACTCGCGAAGCAGAGAGGCATACAGTTGAAATATGTCTTTTCAGTCCAAGACTATTCGGGTTTCTGTTGATTTATACTGGGGTAAAAGGATCATTATTTTTAACGGACCATTTTAACGACGAAAATCATTTCACGCCCTCACGGGTCCATAAACATAGGCTTCCGACACCAAACATTCGTCCTTATCTCATTTTAAAACCATACTTTTACACTAATAAAGAAAGTCACAAAATACACAAGGTAAGATAAATACAATAATAATAAGATACACGGCCAATAAGGCAAGCAAGAACTGTGATTTATATACAAAAAGGAACCACGAATGGCCGAGCATTTAGGGTGCCTGACTATTCGCCACGCAGCAGTTTTGAATTCGAATACCGGCAAATAGAATTTTATTTAAGGTTAATTTGGAAAAAGTATTAAGTGGTTTTGACCCCCTTCCACGACACCCAACAAGTAATTGTACGTAAAGCCCTCCTGTACAGGAATTACATTTATACATATATAAATCTTTTGCCGAACTTAAACTTTTAAAACTTTTATTGAAGAAATTACAAAATAGTACTGATATAAACTCCTGCTCAAAATTAACGCACCACCTTAATTTTTAAACAGAAATTCTTTTTAGAGAAATCCAGCTAAATCTCTTCATGTTTATTCTCTTTTTTATGCTTCACAATCCCACAAAAGTAAACAAGAATTGTTTACAATCGTGTTAATCCGCTTTGAAATGGATTTGGTAAGATACACAAGAGTTTCCTCCTGGTTTATTCCTCAGTTTCACTGCATCTGCTTAACAGACACCATTTCTTTTGGAAGTTTAAACTTTAATTTAGAACTTATGGCGCCCATAAGACATTTNTTAAATGAAAATTTTTGACCTTTTCAGTCTTTTTTATGGAATATTTTTTAATAAAGTTTACCGTCCTTTTCTGCTTTTCATTTTCATTTGTAATGTTTTATTATTAATAACCTACAATACTAAAAATAAAAATAACGTTCAAAAAACACCTGAGAAAAACATATGGTGAAATATTGAAGTGGTGCGTTAATTTTGAGCAGGAGTTTAGATTCAGTTTCTTTTAATTTACTAAATATAAATCAAATTTCTACGATATGCCTTCGGGAAAATCTAATTTAAGACTACTTGGTTGGTTAATAAAAATGCTTATAAAATCTCTGGAGTGACAGTGCTGATGACAATTCTAGGAGCAACACCTGCATCCAAGCATTGTCATCACCTTATTTATTGAATAAAATAGTTATACTCGTACATAACTTACATAAACAAACTCCTGTACAAATGTTTAACGTTGGAAGGAAGTCATTTAACACCCTCAGGCTTACAGGTGCATAAATAACACAATAATTAACGACCGACATTAACATTCGTACTAATCCAGTTTTCAACCTAACCTTTGATAAATATTAAAAAATACACAACAAACGAATTAATTAATAACGAATAAATAATAACTAACACAAATAAGTAGTAAAAGGAAAATTACTGACTGCTTACAAATTCAAGTGAGAACTGTGTTTCGTACACGTACATATAAGAACTGCGATGGCCGAGCAGGCGCCTGATTGATATTTATCATGCTAGGATTTCTGGGTTCTAATACCAGTGTAGCCCTTGTAATTTTACACGAGATTAATTTAGAAAAAGTAATGTTAAAGTATTGTTGGAGGATGAATGGTTCATCCTCGACAACCATCAGTTAGTTTGACATTAAACCCGTTTGTAAAGTACAATTGCTATTACATGTTATATTTTAACTATGATCTTAAGTCATTTCATGCCCTCAGGCTCATGAACTTTCACATCCGACACCGAACATTATTTTTTATCCAGTTTTTGACCAAACCTATCACCAAATATAAAGAAATGCACAATAAACAACATTAAAATACACTAATAAAAATAAATGCGAAATGACAGAAATCAGTAATAAAATGAAAATTAACCACTGCCTAAAAATAGAAGCAAGAACTGTGATTTGTATACATATTGTATTCAAAGAACGCGGTGATTTCCTTTTGCTTCTTTAGAGGTTGTGAGTTCGAATCCCCGCGTACACATTGGAATTTTACTTGTGATTAATTTGAAAAAAGGTATTGTTATAGGGTTATTTGTTATTTAGTGGTCTTGACCAATTTGTCCTTGACACCGAGGAGACCGTTGGACGTTAAGTCTTCCTGGGACTTAATGCTTTACTTGCTTACACGTACATAAATAACATTCTGTACATCGCACCAAATTTTGAGCGCTTTTCTGCTCACAAGCTCAGAAACATTAACTTTCGACACTAAACATTCGTACTAATCCAGTTTTTAACCAAATCTATGGTAAATAATACTGAAATATACAACATACATAAAATTCACTAGTAATGAACAAACACAAGCTAACAGAAATAATTACAAGAAAAATTTCAGACTGCCAAAAATGCAGCAAGAACTGCAACTTATAGACTAGTTTAAGGCAATATCATTATAAATAATAACGAAATCCTCGATAAATAAATAAAAAATACAGTAGAACTAAACATACAGAAAAGTTACAAAAATAAATAATAAAAGGTAATAGAGACAGGGCCTAAAAATTGAAGGGAGAACTGTGATTACAAACCTAAATAAAATCTTGTAATAAAACCAACAGAAAAAGCCTTATGCAATACGGGAAGGATTATCCGTTATATCATGTTGAAAACGTTATATGGAGGTAAAACCATTATTATTACATATTTTGTGTCACTAACATGAGATTACACATACCGAACAATCTGCCACATCTAAATACATACACGATTTAAAAACTGTAAAAAAATTATGTGTATATACCCATAAATGAAATCTTGCACACAGCGCTAAGTTTTGAAAAAGATCCCCTTACGAATGTGACATTAATTATTTTATTTCACAACTAGCTCACAAATAACAGCTGAAAATTTCTTCAGTTAAATATTTCAAAAAAAAAAAAGGAATGGTAACTCTTAATAATTTATACACAATCCAACGAAATCTCTAACCAAAGAATTACCTCAGCTATAAGATTGAGAAGGACAATATTTCATATTTAACTGAAGAAATTTTCAGCTTCTAAATTTGTAAACTAAAATAATGTTACTTTACTATAAATTAAAAAAAAAAGTAAAAAATATATAGTAAGTTACCTGTATAAAAATTGATATTTGTTTTTGTTTATAAAATAACTGTTAATTGTTGTTCAGTTTGAAAATGTAGGCCCTGATGATGACCTTGAAGGCCGGGTCGAAAGATTGGTAAAGTTGAAATTTTATTTTTATTCTACCCATTGACTATAATACTGATCATGCATCAAATTAAACTTCAAGTGGTCGAAACCTTCTTTTCAATAACTATATCAAGGGAAATCTTTTTAATTACTTTTGTAATTTGGGCTCAGTAATTATACTATTCTCGTTTCATCTTTTTACTCCGGTTGGCTCAAATGTTCTCTGAAAACTAAATATAAGACGGCGTAAAAAGAGAGCATTGATCACTCATTGCTTATCTTGTAGTTTTAACACTTAATTAACACTTTAATCGACTGATTTTATATAAGTCGATAATTACGGAAGAGGTCGATTAATTATTATGTTTCCTTCAGTGTTCTCAAACACGCCAAAGTTATAAACTCAAACAACCTTTACCTTGTAAAAAACTTTGTCTTCTAAATTAGCAACTAAAATATACAAAATTTAAATTCCAAAAATTGCTA